CTACTTCACACAGCAAGTGCTATAGGAGGTCTCCGACACCTCAAAGAAGAGCTATTGCCATTTGGAGCAGCAATACGTCCACTTCCTCAACTTTTGGGCCAGAGGGACTAAGGCATTCCCTAGCGCTAGCTATCAGATAAGACCGGTTGGATAATTCCAGTTTCTCAGAGCTTTGGCTGTGTTCTTCGATGAGTTCGCACAGCTTTTCGTGGGCTTCTGCTGTCCAGTTATATCTGAGAAACTCCCAAAAGTCGGGGCGCTGGATTGCCCCGGCTCTGCGCACCCTGCCGAGCCGATGAATTCCAGATAGGGATTCAAAGACTTTTTTCAGGAAATCCTTGCCCTGCCCTTTGGTCTCCAGGGACTTCATCATACCCCGGACAAATCGGTAGCTTTCTAATTCTGCCGTAAGCATTGCATTTTCTCGGCCCTTCAACGTAGTATGCTGCCGCAAGAGAGATACAGCATGCGAGTCAAGGGGTCTGAACAACTCTTCCACTGTTTCATCTTTTGCGTCGTTTAGAGGGCATAAGAGCGCAGCAGCCACCTTCAAGTCCTCCGCAAGCTTTTCCCTTGAAAAATGGATATGGCTGATGAGCCGCTGCGCTTTCAACGCTGGAACGGAGGCGCCGACCGATTCCACCTGCTGCGCTGCTGCCTCAACATCCTCTTCAGGGATCCCCTGTACCTTCCTCAGCAACTGCGCGAGCCCTACACTCTCCTTGGGCTTTTGCTTCTCCAACTTCGCTTGCTCGTTACATCCAGCTGCTTCCACCAGCCTGAGATGCTCTAAAGCTTTGATCCTGGCTGTAAAGCCCTCCAGCACGGCCACCAGAAGAGCACTTCTCGCGCTTTGAGCTTCCTCCTTCTCCGGATTGGTATCCTCCTCGGAGGGCGCCGCTGCCTGCACTCTTTTGACCATATCCTCCAGAAGCAGGGCGGGGCTGTTTTTCTCGGAAGCTTCCAACACATTCTTGAGGTATTTTTCGACGATCTCTTTTTGTGTAGAGGCAGAGGCGCTGCGCACAGCATCCAATGCACGGGTCAAACACGCCGCCACATCGTCGCTCCCAGGAATAGTGCCTGAAGCTGCAGCATAAGGCAAAACCACAGCAGAATCACTAGAATCATTTCCCATTGCTCAATCGACTGGATGCAGTGTTGCAATAACGGGAAATGCACTTGCAGAGGAGCTCGCTGTGTCTCCTCCCTACTGCTGCAGGTCCCACTTACCTATTCCCGGCGGCGGCCTACCAAGGTCTTCTGGCCTTCGCATATATTCCACAAGCGCCTTCTGAAGGCTCTCCTCAATCTCCTTCGTGCTTTGTACTCTTCGCTCCCAGGTGTGTAAAGTATCTGACGCGGGAGCGGCTTCGTCATCTGGTACTCGTCCGGATGCAGCCCTGCCGACAGCCATCCTCCCATCCCTGCCCCAAGCCGTGCTACCCACACTAAGAGACGCACAAACTGCAAGCGCCAAGATGAGACATACTTTCAATGCAACGCTATAACGTCCTGACGATTGGGGTATCCCCCCAGGACGTGCCGCTGGCACGCTCAACTGCT